CAGTCGAGACTGTTATAACTTATACCATGAGTTACGTTGTGAAATACAAGCATTAACTCAGCTTTTGAGATCTCATTTCCCTCATCGCTATCTTTCTTTACCAAGAAATTTTGAAGATTACCTGATACTTTCTGTGACGATTCCAGTTTACCGTACTTTTTTGTCTGCTTATGTTTGTCTAAACCACGACTCCCCTCATACTTAATTGAAATATCAGTTTGACACAATTTGCATACAACGGTATGATCATCTTTTTTTTGTATCCACTTGGAGTAGTCTGGATGATTTTCCCAGTTATTAGAATAAACTGTATAAAACTTTTTTTTCTTAGATGGCCCAGGTCCGATCTCCATGTCTATCTTTTCTGGTGATTTAGATGCCGACATTATCTAAAACAAAACAGCATTACCGCTACCGCCACACCACCAAGTCACCCTACATCATGCCAGATACACGCAAGTTCCACCAACCCATAGAAATAAAATGATGTGAATTGAAATAAAATATTTAAATCTTCTATAGGTAATATACGTAGCGAAATTAATTAAAAAACACTTAGACCACTATGATTTGACAGCGATAGTATCATTATTAATCTCGTTTATTCATTTACTAAACTTATCTATTTAGAATTTCGAATTTAAAACTAAAAAATTAAAAATATTATCTGTAAATGATTTTTGATGATAATTAAATTTTAATTATCAATAATTAATTATGTTTGAACAGACAATAATGAACCAATTTTCAACAAAGAAAGAAATGCAGGTAGGTAAATTCGACAATCAATCGTTAAATAGATATTATTTGCCAATCGCGCGTAAATACATGCGTAGGTAATATACATATATAAAATCGAGCTACCATAAGATCGTTCGACAATATGACATGCTTTAAACTTGAAATCATAAATAAATAACGCAAACAAAACACAAAAAGTAAACTTACCTATTCGAGTTTAGTGTTAATAATTTCCTTAAGCTAATATTCTTCTGTCCTGATACCTACCTACGTTACTGTTAGAACCTGTGAAATAGCGCGCGTGCGACGAAATAAACCTACGAAATACGAATCGGGCGAACGCGGGCGGGGTTACAGCTTACAGCGTTCCACGCCACGCCACCCGTCCCCGGCCCCCGTTTAACATGGGCCGGGGGTGGGGTCCGTTCCGTTCGAAAATGGAGCGAACGTGCGCGGCAATTTTAAATTATTATTTTATATAGAACATTTCGAGGAGCTGTTTGTCTGGAGATTTTGAGTTTTGTCGGGAGTCGGGAGATCATTTAAAATGTCGGGAGAATCCAGACGAATCCCGACCATCTGGCAACCCTAGATGCGCATCTAGTTGAGCCGAACGATTCACGACAAAAAAATGGGTAAATGCGTAGTGAAAGAATGCGATTCAAGGTCACAAAAACATAATTAATCAAGCGGAATCACTTTCCACACGTAAATTTTAGTTTATGTTTTCATATACTAACTAACTACGTAAGACTAACGTAAGAAACACAAAAAATGAAATAAAATATCGAATATTGCAATTTAGGTTCAATGTTGCCACTTTTCTGCCTTTGCAATTTTCCCATATTACAATACTACGACTATATAATTTATGGAATAAGTTAATTTGTTAGCCCTGATTTTAAATATTTTGGAAATTATAATAAAAACTATGTGTCAACCTTTATACAAAGGAATAAATTATTCTTATTTTAGAATATTCATGAATGATCTATTAATTATATTTTATTACCTTTTATATTAATATTTTGTGTATGTGTATATGCGAGGGAGAGGGTGAGTAGTAGTATAAATATAGTATAATAAATAATACGATTGCTGAGAAAGGAGACTCACTGGGTGCCTTCGAAATATACTCTCATTAGTTCTAAGCACTTCCGGGATCAAGCAAAACTAGGACCAAAAAGCGATGGTGACCGTGTTTATTTAAGCTCTTATAATAATAAGCGCTTATATCTTAAAAATTTATTCATAACCACAGGTTTTGTAGCTAATATCATGTGACAAAGACTTGCCGATGCTTTCACAATTCATGCATATTTCAAACTCATCTTCTTGGTTACGAAACCCAAAATTGTTTCTTTTTACTTGATTTTTTTTTGTTTGATTTATTAGTACAATAAGATACTTTAAAAATATCTTTCATTTCATTATTTATACTTCTATTCCTCGGATAAGCAAAGATACATATTAAATATAAACACATATAAATGCAGCTTTAAAAAAAAACCTCTTTTTTAATTGCTTATTTTTGGGTAAAATTTCATATAGTGGTAATACCAACCCGTCACATCATGTTTGTGTGTCTATCTTCATTTAATCTTAGCGATGGTATGGGTTTCGCGACTTGTGTAAGTAAGACAGATATATGTTTACTTAAAAAGTTTTAGTGGTTTCAAAGCTACGTCCTCGCGGTTAGATAGTGGTTTCACTTTTTTCGACGCGCGGTAATGTGGTTTGCTCCTCTAGTCTTGTATAACTCAATGGTTAGAGGTCTCCGTAGAGAGAGAATCTGCTTCATTTGCATGATTTAAGGATAAGGTCATCGATCACTAATAAAAAACTAGATACATAATCAGTGACAAAAAATGGCATAACCGAATGTGCACCCACTCGAACATATGGGTGCACTTTTAATCTAGTAGCATTCGAATGCTGCGACGGTAAACATGCCTCAGTGCTCGTTTAAAAAGTGTGAAAATCACACATCCAGGACGCTAAAAAAGGATTGAATTTCATATTTTCGGGCAGTATTAATATTATTTAATTGTTATAACTGTATTGTAAATACTGATATTTTGTCAAGAAATCATTGCAAAAGTATTTTTTAAATGAAGTCGTAATAAAATAAGTCGACTTTGTTCGAGGTATATGCGTTGATTCTGTTCCATTTGTGGAAACGCTATTGTTTCTTTATTTTTTTATTATTAAAGTCGATTGTTTTATTTTTGTTTAATGAGAGTTCTTTACTGTTTCTGTAAATATTATAGTACTCGAAACATCGAGAATATAAAATGAGTTAATATACGCAATAAAATCCTTAAAACTAGTTTCATTTAAGTGTGTAGTGAACGCGTAAATATAAGAAATCATTATAATTTTCAGTCTTATCCTTATTTTTAAACATCTGTAAATATGAACATTACGTCAAAATTTGGACATTAATATTCTTAGATTTTGCAAGAACTTTCTGTACTTATTTTTTATATTTAGTAACTACTATATTTAGATTAAACTTGTTTGTCAAGCAATATCTTTAAATTTTTCACGCAAGATAAAGAATAAATAAATAATTATGACTGTTTCAATTACTTTCATTACTAAATGAATGTAGTGCTTTTTTTTAAATGTAAATATGCTTTTGGATAGGCCAAAAGCATATTTACATTCAGGTAATAATATAATCATTACACATATACACCATAGAATAGAATAGAATATGCTTTATTAAGCCAATTATTTAAAACAAGTTTAAATAAAATTGTAAAATTTAAATTACAGTAACAAAAAATATTGTGCAGTTCAACTCCACTCTCATTGTCCAAGCGACGAGCCTCGATCGTAAAATTTTATTGCTTTTTCTACGTTGCTTTGTCAATACAACTTTAGACATTTCTCTTAAGGTTGAAATTATATTAATGTATATTTATATCAACTAGAATTACGTCAAAACATTTGGCGACAGTTTTTAGAGAACTTTTGTATGGGATTGTGCATCTAGTTTTTTATTAGTGATCGATGGATAAGGTCCAAAATTTAATACTACTGACATTTAGACGACGAAACAAAACAGCAACCAGACATTAATGCTTTTGTAGCTCCTTTTGTTGTTTCATGTTTTGCTCATTAATATAACATTTTAAAATATATCGAAATTTATACGAATTCGATACTATAAAATATCCATATTTTTATAAGAATATTTCGATATTTTATGCCCAAGCCTAGTATGCATAATGCATATTGCACAGACAACAGACAGCAGACAGTCAGACCTGGTATACAGTAACAGCTTGCTACATATATATTTATCTATGTACAGTAATCTGTGATCTGTGAGTCAGACACTGACAGACGCAGTGAGCTGAGTGAGTACATTGTACGTAGCTTGCTACATATTTATTTATCTATGATTGTAAGTGATAAAAATTCTCAAAATTTCACAGGTCTTAATACATTCTAAACAACTCCTCCATAATATTTAGTTTTTTTTTGTTTTCGTACATACTTTAATAATATTAAAATGGATGATCCACTAACAGTTTGTACAAACTCAATAATAACTAAAAAACTATCACCAAAAATTTGTAATCCAAGGGGAAGACCGGATGAGTCACAAATCATCCAGTATAGTCTGCAGCCAATGTCATTTATTCCACAATTATTGAAAAACGAAAGATATAAAGAACTTATGAAAGAGCCATCGAAGACCCAAAATCAATATTTAGAAACTGTCACATATCAACTTTGTTCTCATAGGCAAGTTTTTTATTTATAAATTATGATCATTGAACCTGCATAGTTAATCCATAGGTTCATTAGGTATTAATAAATGGCTTTGTAATGTTTCAGGAATCATAATAAAACAGAATATGAACAATTTAATACTGATAAAGAATATTTTTGTGAATATCCCAAGTGTTCTTACAAAACTAAGTTCTCTTCAAACTTAATTAAGCATAAAAGGAAACATACTTTAGAAAAACCATTCTTATGTGATCAGTGTACATTTAGGACAAACTTTATTAATTCACTGAATGTTCATAGAAGAATTCACACAACTGAAAGGCCATATGCTTGTAAATTCTGCAAATATAAATGCAACAGTAGTTCTAACTTAAAAAAACACTGCCGACATAGACATAAAAATGATTTTTTAGAGCTATCCGTTGTTTAAATATGTTTTACACAGTCTTTAATTATTTTATTAATTGTAACTCTCGTGTAGATTATAAGGTTTTGATAAAAAAAAAAAACTTATTCATAGCTTTTTTTAATACTCATCTAATTATAACCTAAATAGTCTACAAAATATATAACTGGTATAAAATGTAACTGTATCACCCATAAATGTTGCCTTATTAAAACATGATAATAATAACAACATGATATAAACCATTCTGTATTTCATAAATTGTAAGGATATATAATCATTAATAATACTAATCTGACTTATTGATCTTAACATTTGTCAATGACAGTGTTCAGTGAAGTCCACCACAACAGATTCACGCCAACCAAAGAGAAAGTAACCAGTAGCAGATCCCAAAACAACAGCTGCACACAACCATGTGTTATAAGTCATAAACACCAACATAAGCATGTAGCTAACAAGAACTTGTATTCCATGTAACACAGTCTGCCATGCATGTGCTGCACTCATCATTGTAGGTCTGTAATAAAAGCAGTGATTATTATTTTTTATAGGACAATGGTAACAATCTAGCACATGGTCCACCTGATGTTAAATGGTTACTGTGGCCCATATACATCTACATCTATCCTTAATTATGAATTAAAATGCAGCTACGTTGTCACCCATGAGGACTAAGATGAATGCCTAGTTTCCAGTAAAAAGGGTCTCCGGTTCTCTGCACTAACCATATGAAACACAGCAGTGTTGAGCTGCTATTTCACGCTGGTATTCTGTGAGTGTGATCATTCCCTAGTCGAGCTGACCCATTTATGCTACAACTATACTACTTATACAGCTGTGGCATGGCTTTACCATGTAAAAATGGCTTATCACTACTCGAGGGTAAAGATGAGGTCTACGTTGGAGAGAGTTTACCCAGGAAAAGCTTGAACCATACACCTTGAAGAGGTTAAGGTTATATGCACGGAAAAACAGACACCAGCAGGGCATTCCACTCCTTGGCTGTGCGCATTATGAAAGATGACTATAGCGCTTGGTGCAAATATTCAGAATATCAACCAAGTGTGGATGGTAACCTGCAGCACATCTGGTACTCCAATAGGGGAATGGAGATGGCGGTATGAGCTTATGAAGCTCATGGGCACACTCTCCGAAGTACAATCTATAGAAGACCGACAAACAAGCAACTTGGCGGCAATGAGCTAAGCTGTGAAGCTTAGTTTCCAAGTTAATAATGTGCTGAGCCATCCCATAGGTTACAATACTCTATGCATGTTTGGACTTGAGCTTTGTATAAAGTTAGAAGCAGACCAGGCGTGATACTTCACCCTGTTTAAAATACCCAGTTTTTTGGCCGAAGTTTGTGCTTTCGAAGTGAGATCAAACGGACTCCGATTTTGCGGAGAACAGACAGGCCTGCGTTTTGGCGGCGTTAAAAGTGACCAGATTGTCATCACACCATTGGGAGACAAGACTTAAGGTCGCATTTATCCGCTCCACCATGGCCTCCCCGAGTGAACGTATTACTGCTCCTCCATCTTTTTCACCGGAAATGAATCCTGTGACTGCACAGTAGGTCATTGATGTGTAACAGGAAGAGTCTCAGAGAGAACAGACCCCTGAGGGACTCTGGCATTAATATGCATTAGGTCAGAAGAGCAGCCATCTATGACTAACCTGATCGACCGCTCACTCAGAAAGTCATATATCCAGTTGCAAAATTCAGCGGGGATGCCGTAAGCAGGAAGCTTACTCAGTAGACTTACATTCAAAACCCTGTCAAAAGATCCCTATCTCGAAAGATATCGAGTGAAACTGCTAGAACTTCACAACATACTTAAGAAGATCCCCAGTAGACCGTCCCCGGCGGAAGCCATATTGATGGTCACTTAGGAGGTCATTTGTTTCAAGGTATGTCAGCAGCTTAGAGTTCAATAATCAAGTTTTGGTGTATACCAGTGAAGGATCATGTCTCGTATCCATAAGTCATTACTGGCAGCATGCAATTATGCATAAAATGATCCAAATGTACAATCTCGTTTTAGAAGTTTTGAGGTAAACCTGACGAGAAGATGTGTCGTAAGCTATCTGGTTGACTTGAATCCATTGATGAAGCTCTTGTTCGATGTTGTACTTACACAGTCGAGCTATTTGTCTCAGGTAAACATACTTATCAACAACTTCGAGTTTAGTGCCCCAATGTGTTGGACTTATAGATCTGGAGACATCGTCCTTCACTGCTGGCCCTAGGAGGAAGTTCAAGTTCGCTCAGCGAGCTATGGAGAGGGTTATGTTCGGCGTTTCTTTGAGTGATAAATTTAGAAATGAGCATATACGCAGTAGAACCAGAGTAATCTACATAATACAAGAGATTAATAAGCTGAAGTGGCAATGGGCCGGCCATATAGCTCGTAGAACCGTCAACCGATGGGGAAAAAAGGTTCGCGAGTGGCAGCCTCGTACCGGCAGGCGAAGTGTAGGTCGGCTTCCACTCCCCCCCCCCCCCCCCCCCGAACGGGTTCCCGCCTTGTCGTGGCGGGGGGGCTTAGTAGCCGTGGCTTGGTCACCCGCGGTGAACAAAGAGAAACCCTTGGCTGGCCCGGGGTGTAGGCCCGGCCCGAGGTGGCCCATTTCGGATGTGTGTCGGTGGGCTGCTGCGAGAGTGGTGTCCTCTCCCCCTACCGCTGCAGCCGAGGTAGAGTCGCGAAAGAAGAAGAGTGTTGGTATGGCAATGCGCCACTCGCTCTATCCTCCGCGACTCTGACGGAACCGCACCATTAATTGATGCGGTGGTGGTGGGGCTGCGGGGGGAGAGAAGTGTCGGTATTGCGAGGCGCCGCTCTCCCTACCCTCCGCAGCCGAATCTTGGTTGGTGGCGGAGCCATAGACCAGATCCGCCGCTGGGGTCAGGAAGGCTAGTGCTTCTAAGTGCTAGTTTTTCCTGGCCCCATGGCCTTCGCGCATCGGACACGGGGGCGTCCGTTGCGCATGTGAAATTGGAGGCCGAAGAGGAGGGCGCGCCAGGTGTACTGGTGCGCCCTCCTGGATGGGGGAGGAGTAGTCCTCTCCCGAGGAGAGGCCGCCATGGGGCAGCCAGCGCAGGTGGGGCCGCGTATGTGTGCGAAAGCGTTCCCGTTTCCTTGCCCAATATGCGATGAAGGTGGTACACCATGGGGTTTTAGTCGGTGCGAGTCCGACATAATCCGTTTTTGCCCCCGCGAGGCGGGTATGCGTACGTTTTTTTACATGGGGAAATGCCTACCCATACGTATGTATGCGTACGGGTAGGCATTTCCCCATGTAGAAAAAAAAGGTCGGCCCCCACTAGATGGAGTGACGACCTGGTAAAACATGCAGTAAGTCAATGGATGCAGGTAACTTAGGACCGTGCCTCGCGACATCCCTTGGGGGAGGCCAATGTTCAGCAGTAGACTTTTGAAGGGCTGTAATGATGATGATGACGAAATTGTGATTTGTACCACTTACATATTCCTTTCCAGTACATGAGGCATGGACCTGAAACAATTAAAAATGTTAGTGACATAATATTTTGATTGTGTTATTACTTTAGAAAAAAAAAGTGTTAGTAGATAAACTATGCATTTAACATTTACTCAACTGTATGACTTGCGGTTCATCTGCTGCACAAATATTCGCCACACCTTTATCTGGAGGTGCAACTGCACAATATTGTAATCCTGTATAAGTTTTCCATAACAAGTGTTTCCTGTAGTACTTCAGTCTGAAATAACAGCACCATGAATAAACTAATAAATTGTAGTGGCAGTGTAAGAATACCTACTAACCCATATCGTCTTGTAGGTGTCGTAAGAGGCAACAGAGGAAAACAAACCAGGAGATGGGCAGTAGCATCTTAATAACAACTAAAAATATAAAACTGCAGTTATCAAAACGGATGCCAAGAATGGTGACTATAACAAATATCCTGTTTATAGTGCAATCTATATGGGAGGCCTGTGTTCAACAGTGGACTTTTAATAGGCTGTAATTGTAAAAGTAAACCAATATGAGTAAAAATACATGACAAATGTTTTTAAAGGTGCAACTCTTCAAGTTTATTTCATGATGTTATCCTACACATCTCAAACAAAGGACTTGTTTGATAAATTTTCTCCCTGTTTACAAAACCCTGAAGATGTGTTATGGAAAATTTGGTGCCAAAATGATAATATAAGTTTTTAATGTTAGTTTTGTAAAAAATTCTATCTGGCTTTAACCCACTTATTAAAATTATTGTTTATTTAGTCTAGATAAACAATGGATTAGTTGGACTTAGTTGGCCATCGGATTTGGGCCTGTCTAAATACTAATAATTAGTGAAAGAAATAGAAATATATGTACCTGAATTATTATTTTTATATTATATTTCTCTTGAATAAAACTATTTTTACGGATTTTATCGCGTTTAATTAACTTATTTCATATTCCCGACCTTTAGGTTGCTTTCCAGCAACCGTGGTCACGGGGGACTGAGGTGATTGACGTCCCAATGTCAGTGTTAAACTGGAGTACCTTCAGCTTTTTTAATTAATAATTTTGGTCCGATCTACGCAGAATGAACTAACTGTCTTGAAGACTTGCAGTGGTATGCTTGGGTTTAGTTTTAATTTTATGAATTACAGGATCCCAAGCAGGTGGTAGTACCCGGCCTCCCTCTCTATTGAAATTAGGATGTTTCTTAATTTCAATAGCCTCACGTATCATCCTTGGCAGGAATTATGATCACAAACTGCAGACTTCCCGGAACGTTGGTGCTTCACGTCAGCACCAACACAGTCACCTGACGACACAACACAGTCCTAGACGGCCCCCGCCATTACATTAGATTTGATAAACCACAAATTCTCGCGAAAGAACATCGATTCCTGCCAAGGATGATAACGTCGGGAATATAAAATAAGTTAATTAAACGGCGATAAAATCCGTAAAAATAGTTTTATTCAATGTGTAGTGTTCGCGTAAATATAAGAAATCATTATTATATTTCTCTTACAAATGGTTACAGATTCAGCACCAATGTCACTTCAGGATGAAGAAACCTTGATAAGTTGTAAAATGCTTGCACTCATCAAGTTTAAAGTTTTAGAGCTTGTACCCTCACAGTTATCATATCAAAATGAAAGAAATATCTTTTGTTGGGTGAAATGAGAGGTGTAACTATAATTCATAAGTAATAAGTAAATTGCTAATAAATCTTGTTTCCCTCAGGGAATAAGTGAATCATTTCTGCTACTGGTTAACTTGTTTTTTAAAAACATGAATATAAGAAAGAAGCTAACAGTTGATCTGAACTTAAATATTTACTTCAACCCATAGACACCTGTATCCAAAATCAAACTGAGCTACAAAATCACTGTTACCCCTATGAACTAAAATGGAATACCTCCACAACCTTTAGTCATGACAGTAGATGTTCTGCTGCTTGATACTAGTTTGCAAGAATGAAGACAATTAAAAAAAATGTTATCTTTAAAATAATGTTCACAAATACCTGGTAATGTAATTTTGTAATCCTTATTATTTTGTGATTTTGATTATTATTTTTGTTGTTTTAGTTTTTGTATTTAAGCCCTTTGCAAAAATGATTATCATAACACTATAAGAATAAGTAATTCTCAAAGTTCTTTTGGTAAATACTGGGATCTTACAGTATTAAGCACTTTTAGTTCTACAAATACAGTAATTGTCTTATTAGGATTGCATCCCCTAAGCTTCAAATTGCAAAGTCAGTATCATCTGTAGACAGCTTATTTAATTTAACCACAAAATTCTATTGTAATGAAAATAGAAATCAAGATATGTTCTCAAAAGTAAACTTTAGAACATCCTATTTTATTTATTTTATTTTTTTATTTATTTATTTTAGGAAGGCTTACAGACTAATATCTTCGGTAGTAACAAAGTGGTGATAAGAATTGCTAATTACAAGCCTCCACACATTACTTTCATCCAACTTTATACAAATTTAAAATACTCTAGGGATTACTTAAACTACTTACAAAAAAAAAAAAATAACATAAGCAAAAAATAGGCAAAAACAATTACAAAAAAAAACCGCATAGTTCAACTTTCCGTGAGACCAAAGAGGTTGCAACATGAGTCATGCTAGTCGCGGCTGTGAGTGAAAAATTCTCTGTTCATCACTTTTTTTACAAATTTAGAACTAGTAGAAAATAGGTCAATATCTACTACAGATGAAAGTTTATTAAATTCCATTGCGTATATGCATATTTAAGAGCCAGGTAGTTTATATTTAATTTTTGATGTGGAAAAAACATTTCGAAAAGTAAAGTTTAGGTATAATTTTGGGAACTTTTGACCACTGTCTGGTGAAATTTGTGTCGTTATATTCCCCACCTACGATTTCCACGTTGTGCGGCGAGTGTGGCGATACAAGTCAGCAGATGGGAAATTCCGAATGTTAACCTTAAGAAGAGAGCTTTTAACCAAGCCGCTAAGTCTTACAAAAAGGCATTACGGCAAGATAGTTTCAACCGCATTAAACGCATCGGCACAAAGCTCTCTGTCAAACCATCTGGCAGTAGAGCTTTTTGGTCTCTCACCAAAGCGGTTGAGATAAACTTCTGTCGGTCTACACTGCCTCCGCTGGTAAAACCAGATGGCTCTCTGACGCATGCGCCTAAGGAGAGAGCAGAGTTATTTGCTTCTCTTTTTGCTTGCAATTCATGTCTGGACAGTAGTAACAGCATACCACTTTAATTACCTCACTGCGGTACCTCTGTCAGACGTGAACAAAGCTCGTGGACCTGAGTTGTCTCCTGTGTTGACGCGCTTATTCCGCCTCTCATTCAGGACTGGAATAGTGCCCAAATCTTGGAAGCTGGCCAATGTGCAGCCTGTACTTAAAAAAGATAGCCGTACCGACCCTGCCAACTGTCGGCCAATTTCAGTTACCTCCATACTCCTCAAGATTATGGAGTGTATATTGAATGTCCGCTTAATGGCATACCAAGAACAGAATGACCTCCTTAGTGACCGGCAATACGGGTTTCGCCGAAATCGGTCAGATGCCGAGGCGCTTGAGAACAGTGGGGAACACTTGCTGTTTCACTTGATGTCTCGAAGGCCTTTGACAAAGTTTGGCACGCTAGCCTTTTGGGTAAGCTTCCAGCGTACGACTTATCCCCTGGTCTCTCACAATGGGTAAAGGACTTCCTGAGTGAATGGTCACTCTGGGTCGTCGTCAATGGTTGCTCATCTGATCCAGTGGCGTTAGTCGCCACAGGATCGCAGGTGTTCCTCCGTTCTCTCCGCAACTCTCTTCCTGCTGCATATTAATGATCTGTTTATGCCTGGTATCTATGGGTATGCAGACGATAGCACAGTTGTGGAGAGATACCAACAAAATACCCGGGCCAGTAGGGATCAAATCCAGTCCAAAAGAGAAGCTATGGTTGAATGTGTGAATTTCTCACTACAGGCACTCTCCAAATGAGGCGATGCCAATCCCGTGAGATTCAATGCCTCCAAAACACAAGGGTGTCTTTTCCCCACAAGGAGCCTGCTCACCCTGGCTCCTACTTTCCGGAACGTATCCTTGGAGTACAATGACCACCTTCACTTGTTAAGGATTTAATTTTCTCCGAATCTCAACTATGGGTAGTTCATTGAGTCCAGGGTCAAAGCAACCGCAAGGAAACTTGGTGTCCTTGCAAGGGTGCAGCGGCACTTCATGCCGGGGCAGCTTTTTACCTTATATAAAGTGCAAGTCCGGTTGTGCATGGAGTACTAGGCTTTTCTTACACTAATACAGTGTAATTTACCATCTGAGGTTACATCATCATTTACCACCAGGTGGGATTGTGGTCAAGCACTGGCTTATAATAAGTTAAAAAAATTACAATAAAATTAGTAATACTAGTCTTTTTTTTTTAATTTCACTTTTGGAAGTTTCTTCTAATTTAACATTGATGTATCTCTTACCCCTCATAGAATAATGCCATTATGAATATTGCTAAAAATGATCCCATGAATTCTCCCATGTCTGTCACTTTCCACCAAGAAAATAAAATTGTCTCCATGTAACCACCATGGAACTGAAAATACACAAATTTGAAATAAAAATAATGTTACTACAGTAATTTTCCACATTATGAATAACTTACAGTCATCGACATATGCATTTCATGTGAGCTATGGGCTCCATGACTCAAAATATGATCTCCATGACCATGATCATCATATCCTTTTAAGCTACTATCCAAATTGTCAGTTCCATTTAAAATATTCTGCAAGTATAAAACAATTTAAGGAAGACGTAAATATTTTAATATATAATATAATGTAATGTAATAAAAACAATACTTACATTAAATTCTTCAATTAAAAGTGTATCATTCATATGATGGTTTGAGTGTGATAAAAGAGCTTCATTTGGGCTGATTTTATTGTTATGATGTTCTAAATGATCCATGTTCATATGATGATGCCCTTCCATTGAAGTCCTAAATTAATAAATGAAAATATATTATTAGTATTAAAAAGTATAAATAAATTATTGCATCTTATAATAATTGATGTATTAAACATTCATTTATTATAAGATACAATAATTTATTATTTTATATAAAAAACAGAAAAAAATTACATCACCTGGATCTCAAAAGCTTTTAATTCTAAATTATGTAAGGTGAAATATTTCACCCCACCTATTCACTGTTTACAGCCAGCTGCCTAATGTGACAGAATATGATGATAGGGAGGTATATTACCATTACAAGGGTAACAGCTCTGTATTCATCACACCAACCCAACTGCCAGTGTGATGAATGTAGGAAAATATTCCAAGTAATGCATGCTGGTAGGCATATTCCCAACCTATGTTTGCTGAACGTAAACAGAGAATAAGTGGGTTGAAATATTTCCCCTTACATAATAAATAAATAAATGTACCTAACTCTATAAGACATACCATATAAACACATTTAAATACCAATGAAAAAGTAGAATTAAGTTACAGAATTTTATATTTCTTAAACGCTACAAACTTACGATTTTATCAGGTTTCCAGATGAAGCTCCTGGACAAATTATATTTTAAATGATGGTTAAGTATTGGATCAAAATTACGCGTATGCACTTTCACTTTTGGGCATGTATGTACTCATTCACGATCTCATTGAAAGTGTAGCATACTTTGCATTCGTACAACTCTAATTTGTTTTAGAATAGATCATATATAATTTGCGTAACAATCACTTACTTGTCAATATATAGGTACCTAGCAGAACTTCACCGATAAACGAGCAATACATTCATCACTTCACATGATATATTTATTCTTGTGTTAAAATCTCGTGAGCAAGGTAACAAAAGTCTAAATCACTAAATCAAAAAAATAACACAAAATCACAAACTATGAAGTAGATACTACGAGGTACTAGTACTAAGCTCAGCTCTAAGTATTAGTCTGTGGCTCTAAGTCATTCCTGTATAGGAAAGTTACTATACTCTTTGCTCTAAGGCTCTAAGTATATCATTGCTCAATGCTCAATTCAGTTGGTCTCAGTATTTAGATCTGTGATGCGTAAGCCGTAAGCATTAAATTAGTCTGTGGATGTGACTCTGTGGCATCTAAAACCCAAGGTGTAAAATGGACCCCACTACCCCAGCCTACGAATTTTGAGTATGTATGTAAAAAAAACCGACAGATGTATTTTAAATAGCACATCTCAAAAATATTAATTATTTAAATTGCACCCATGTAGGTACAGATAGTTAAAGTCAACCGTGACCGGTGGATCGGCCGAATGGGACCGATATTGTGGCCACCAAGTTCACCTGATATTAACCCATTAGATTTTTTGTTGTCTCGCTCACACAGCTTAGAATTCGTCCAAACAAGGCGAGCAGGTAGTAAAGTAAAATTTTCAAGGGCGACAAATGTACTTACCTAATAAAGACATGCAATGTTTAAAAAAAACTATCTGCCAATAATTTTGTAATGAAATGCCTACTTTTACACATTAACGGCTATAGCTCAGTAAGTAATGACATTAAGTTCATGGTATGGTAATGTTTTAGAATCCTTATGATATAGGCAAACTTTTTAAATGGTTGGCCACACAGATCCTATACGTTTTTATTTCAACACAGGTGCTCAAACTTAGCAGTTAAATAAAGTAAAAAATTTAAACTTATGTTTAGTGCCGTCTTGTAAAATACTACCCATAGTAGTTGAAAACTTTTAAGGGTAATTTAGAAACATCATAATTAGGGAACACATTAAAAGAAAAAAATCCGATCTAGGCATTAAACTGCGGACGTGATGAGCACAAATGTGAGCAGAAGTACGAATTTTCGGAATTTTATAAAACATGGCATAGACCGCGAACCGTTCGGGATAGAATCTTTTTTTAGGGAACCGAGGCCACCTCTCACCCGCCCAAACATGTACGTACCAGATTATCCACCACTACTGGGACACCCGGTATATGCTGACTGACAGATTCTATATATGATTATATACTCTAAATTCATAGGATGGGGAAGGGGTGTGTAAAAAGGCTGAAAACCATACACTTAAAGGCCTTCTATACGATCGCAACCAACAACCAATCGTCGTGACCTTGGTCGGGTCAACCGATTTTGTATTCGTTCTACACGGTCGGGTGGTTGACTCAACTTGTCAGTTCTCAAAAAATAAAAATAAAATTGCTTTTCTGAACAACAAAAAATCGGTTTAGCGTTAACGTTTCTGTGCTTGAGCGAAGATGAAAAGAAAAGAAAATGGATGAAATTGTGGCTGAAAGTGCGCATTACTTTAAACCATCTCATTATTTTAAGGATTCTTGATTCTGAAGACTTTCGAAATTTTCTAAGAATGGATCAAGATACTTTTAACGAATTACTTGAGATGGTGCGTCCAATGATTACAAAAAAAAAATACAGTTATGTGTCAAGCCGTGTCTGCTGAAGAACGATTAATAGCTACATAAAGATTTTTGGCTACGGGAAGAAGTTATAAAGATCTGAGATTTAGTACAGTTTTATCATTTCCTTATGGCCATTTGGCCAAACAGAAAAGGATACCAAATCTTATGTCTCTGTAACCGATTTTGAATGAGAGGTCGGCAGTCAGAACAAGTCGGCACGCAAGAAATAGCTCCTAAATATTTTGTAATTTTTTAGAATGTAATAGTGGTTATTTTTAGTAACTAATTTTTTTCGATAATGATTACTTGTTCTGTGAGTGACTGTAGTGTTAATAATAGAAATAATCCTGATAATTGCACATTTCACAGGTAAATTTTTAAAGACGTCGTCAATGTTATGACTCGTTTATTTTTGGTTAAAATTTATGTTATATACTATTTAAAATATAGAATGTTTTTAATTATTTTGTTAATTTTGATATTTTACAAAGAAAATAGTCACGTTGTTGATTATTTGCATGAATTTGGTAAATACATTTTTATTTTACATTTGTACGCTAGAGATTGACTCAACTATATCAAAATTAATGTCGATATTTATCTTGAATGTTTATATTGAATCGATAGACTTTTTTTTATAGGATAAGGGTGACAAACGAGCACACAGTCCACCTGATGGTAAGTGGTTGCTGCGGCCTATAGACATCTACATCTATCCTCGTTTGATGTGTTGCCACCCGTGAGGACTAAGATGGAATGCCTCATTTCCAGTAAAAAGGGTCTCCGGCCACCTGCACTCACCAAGCGAAACGCAGAGGTAAACCTCTACTTCACGCTGGTATTCTGTGAGGTCGTGGTACCACCCCGGTTCGAGCCGGCCCATCCGTGCAACAGCAAAAGCTGCCGCGTGGCTCTACCACTGTTAATAACTTGCCTACACAATAAGAAAATAAATCTTTAGTTTGCGTTCTACAAATGTAATTTTATTTTGCCGTTTCTCAAACTGATTCCCTCCGGATTCTATAATTAGAAAAAATGGTTAAGGTTAATTGGACGGATTGATTGGAATCCAAAGACAAGCTCAACAATTTGCAGCAAACATTTACTTGCGAAAGTCAAAAGATCCAATTTATACCATCTATGTTATGAATTGAATAAATCAAAATCAATTGAAATATAAATAAATTGAAAAAGTGCGAGGAAAATGGATACTATTCCACCTCGCTACTTTATAGCCGCCAAGGCCGTCTACACTACGTCATAAGTCACAAACCAATAAGAAGTACTAGCGCACCTCAGTCATAAGGGGTAGTGACGGAAAAATCTTACACAAACAAAGAATATGTAATCACTATCTTCTAGCACTTCTTATTAGTTAGTGACTATGTTTTTAACATAGACTTAGAATATACTGGCATATAGACGACATGACAGCCCAAAAAGACGTAAAGGCGTGACCAATTTTCATTTATCATTGTGTGCGTATGCTATTGATGTACATTTTATAAGTAAAATGATGACTAACAACAAATAATTGTTCAGGAAGTGCTAAAAAGATTTACAAAATTTGTTTAGGGCACGAAATTGGATAACTTCAAAAATTAACTGAATTTTACCATAATAGTACTAAAATAATTATTAAATATTCATATAATATATTCCTGGGAATAAGCTGAACCTACCTGTCTTTTGTTGGATTTTAAAACAAAACTAGCTATATAGCAGTCTTCACAAAATAACATCAGTCTAGTTTTAGGATGTAGGTACATAAGCCATTTAATAGTTTAAATATTCTTAAATAACTTAGCTATTATAAAATTCCAAATAACAAAGTATTTTGGTAGTAGTTGATACTCTTTGAAACACAAAGCGCGCGCACACAAATACGCGCACATAAATCTGGAAATCGTATAGTCACAAATAATCTTTGCCTAGCACTTACACACTGTGTTAAAACCGTATTTTGTTTATCAGTATAAGGTGTCACTAAACTTAATAGCTCCTCGAAGTCCTCTTTCCCCATTCTCAGGTAATTTTGGAATTAATTTGGCTCCAGAACTCCGAGAATCTACATATACTTACTTGAGTGATTTTTTCTAAGTTTTAAATATTCTTTCAACCGTATCTTTCTTCTCCTTCTCTTTTCCTTAATATTAATTGTAGTCGCTAGACAGCACATTAAGCATACATGTTAGTTTTTAAGTCATGGCCTACATATATATTTATCTATGGTCATGGCATGACAAGGGGTGTGAGTAGTCTGTGGTTACGAGGATAAACATTGTAAAGAGGTTAAGCAGTTTTTTATTAAAGATTTTGTGTTTAATTCGACCATTCTTTTCTTCGACGATCCCACAACTATTTTGGGGGCTCGTCCGGGATCCAGAGAAGTATCAGTGTGGAAGAATTAACAACATTTACTGAATGAAATAAGATCTTGCAAGACATGGTTGACATATCTTTGGAAAACTGACGGCGCCGTACAAAGACCGAACGGCATTTTCATGAATTCATACGGGACGTTGTTATCATCGCACTGCACTACCGACTACGCGTGAGCGGAATGCTGCGGAACGTTGTTCGTGACGTCAATATATTTTTTATTTTTTACGAAATGTAAAGAAGATAAAGATTAGTTTCACGACTGGATTTACGATTTACGGATTTTACGATTGAAGATTATTGTTACAAAAGTAATGATTTAAAGAAGATTTTACAATTATTGAAGACTTGTGAAGATTTTTATATTTGAAGAATAACATTTCAAGATGCGGCCGAAAAAAGATATTAAAGATGGAGAAGAACGAGGATCACGTGACACCACATCCTATATCTCGTTTGCAGACGTCATTTAGTGGTGATGATTCTTACCCGATTTCAACATGGTTTGAAGAATTTGAAGACACGGCACTGTTTATGAGCTGGACTGAAGTAGAAAAACTGATTTACGCGAAAAGACTCCTAAGTGGAACTGCAAAACTATTTCTACGATCGCTCGGAGGTGTAAAGGATTATAAAAAATTAAAACAAGAACTCGAAGATGAATTTGGATCTAAATTGAATAGTGCTACCATACATAAAAAACTAAGCTCAAGAAAAATGAAGGAAGTTGAAACTTACCAGCAGTATTTTCTCCATATGAAAGAATGTGCACTACATGGAAACATCGAAGATACAGCACTTATGGAGTACGTTATTAATGGTATCCAAGACAGCGAATCTAATAAATCTATTTTGTACGGAGCGTCAAACCTTAAAGAATTTAGAAACAAATTAGATATTTACAAAAGTATTAAAGAAAAGACCCAGACTCGACACAGTGTATCTACTCCATTTGCAAAGAATAATAAAATAAAGCGATGTTTTAATTGCGGTGACTTAGATCATCAAGCCCCGACCTGCACGAAGGGTATTAAGTGCTTCCGATGCAATGAATTTGGGCATAAGGTAACTCAGTGTAGTAACAAAGGTAAAAAGACTTTAAATATTAAAAAGACTGAAACTAAAACTAAGACTGATAAAGAATACAAAGAATAAGAAACTCCATATAAGAAGATAAAGATAAATGGTGTCGAAATTACAGCATTAATTGACACTGGGAGTGACGAGAATTTGATAAAGTTATCTGAAGTTGGAAAATTTATGACAGATAAAGTTATCTATGACAAAGAAAAATCAATAAACCTAACTGGAATTGCTGGAAAAGAACTAAATACTGAAGGACTTCTGAAAGTTAAGGTTTTAATTGATGATTATTATGCTGATTTGGAATTTCACATAGTAAAAGATAATGCTATACCAATCAGTGTCATACTTGGAAATCCTATCCTCAAAGATTTTGAAATCAACTTTACTCGTGATGGTATTTTCCTTGAAAAGATTTCTTAGCTTACACTACTGGCAGAAGAGAAGAACACTATTTGTGATGAACATTACCCTGAAAATAAAGAAATTGCTGATAAGATTACAAAACTAATTGAAGAATATAAAACTCATGCTAAAAAGAAGGAAAGTAACGTTGAGATGAAAATAATACTTACCGAAGAAGACCCGATCCATCAAAGTCCACGTCGATTGTCACCACTGGAAATGAAAGTTGTTGATGAACAAATAAAAGAATGGCTAGACCAAAAGATTATACGACCCAGCAAATCAGATTTTGCAAGCCCTGTAGTTCTAGCCAAAAGGAAAGATGGAACATACAGACTTTGTATAGATTATAGAAAGTTGAATAAAAGCATAGTGAAAGACCGATTCCCGTTACCTCTTATAGAAGATCAGATTGACAGATTGAAGGGTGCAAAAGTTTTCACGACTTTAGATTTGAAGAACGGATTTATGCATGTGAATGTGCATGAAGAAAGCAGGAAGTTTACGGCCTTTGTAACTCCGCAAGAGCAGTATGAATTCATGAAAATGCCTTTCGGTCTTTGTACGGCGCCGTCAGTATTCCAAAGATATGTCAACCATGTTTTTCAAGATCTTATTTCTGACGGTACTGTCCTTGCCTACTTGGATGTTTTGATTCTACCCTCGGATTCAGAAGAAGAAGGATTGGAGAAGCTGGTAGAAGTGTTCCAAAGAGCTGATGAGTACGTTCTTTTATTTAACTGGAAGAAATGCCACTTCATGAAGAGGGAGATAGAATATTTAGGCTATATAATACGGAATAATGAATTACGCCCGTCAAAAGAAAAGATTTCAGCCGTATCAAGATTTAAAACCCCTCATAACATCAAGTCTTTACAGTCTTTTTTAGGACTGTCTGGTTATTTTAGACAGTTCATCAAAAATTATTCTATAATTGCAAAACCACTTACCAATTTATTGAAGAAAGACGTTTAATTCAATTTTGATGAAGAGTGCGAAATGGCTTTCAATGAATTGAAAAGAATATTGTGTAGTTCACCTGTGTTACGGATTTACGATCCAGAGCTAGCAACAGAACTACACACAGATGCTAGCGCAGAAGGCTATGGCGCCGTTCTGTTACAGAAAAGTCCTACAGATAATCAAATGCATCCAGTCTACTACATGAGCAAAAAAACGACACCCGCTGAAAGAAAGTATCATAGCTATTACTTGGAAATACTGGCGATTGTTGAAGCTGTCAAGGAATTCCGTGTCTATCTGCTAGGAATTCGTTTTAAAATCATTACAGATTGCTCTGCTCTTAATAAAACATTACAGAAGAAAGACTTACCTCCACGTGTTGCTCGATGGCCTCTGCTCCTAGAAGAGTATAATTATGAGATAGAACACAGGTCACGATCAAGACTTAAACATGCTGACGCACTAAGCCGAAACCTGCTGCCCGCTTGAAGATAGCTCAAGACGACGACCCTCATATCAGTATGTTAAAGAAAATGTTAGAAAAAGAACCCTATCAAGACTATATTATGGAAAGAGGAATATTATGCAAAGAGAAAGATGGTACGAGACTTATTGTAGTTCCAAAGAAAATGCAAAACGAAGTAATAAGGAAGAAGCATGTTTATGGACATTTTGGAGTTAGAAAAACAGAAGAGCTTGTGAGTCGAGAGTATTATGTTGAGAATCTGAAGGAGAGAATTAGAAAAGTTATAGATAATTGTGTAGAATGTATTCTGATTGAACAGAAAAAAGGAAAGAAAGAAGAATTCTTATATCCATTAGACAAAGGTGATGTCCCGTTGTCGACGTATCATATTGATCATCTTGGTCCATTCACGTCTACTAATAAAAATTATAAGTACATTTTGACGGTAGTTGATGGCTTTACCAAATTTACTTGGATCTATCCTACAAAATCTTTGTCCACAGATGAAACGTTGGACAAACTGAGAGTGCAATAACAAACCTTTGGTTGCCCTCAAAGGATTATTTCCGATCGTAACGCCGCATTTACTTCAATAGACTTTCAAGACTATTGTGAACAAGAAGGCATAACTCATTATACAATTACTACAGGACAACCCCGCGGAAACGGGCAAGTAGAAAGAATCCACGAAATCATAATAATTGTTATAAGTAAATTGAGCGCTGATGATCCGACAAAGTGGTATAAACAAGTTTCCAAAGTGCAACGCTGTCTGAATAGTACATGGCAAAGAAGTATCGGAATGACTCCATTCGAGTTACTTTTTGGAACCAAAATGAAAGATGAGAATGAAGAAATTATGAAATTAATAAAAGAAGAAGAAGTTTACGAGTCGGTACTTGGAAAGTTTGGCGATAAAAGGGTTAATGATGCTGGCAAGCTTATACTGGCGGTGTGCAAGGAAAAGGGTCTTCTTGTGACAAACACTATGTTTAATCACAAGAAAATCCATATGTATACTAGAGAACGAAAGAATGAGAGAAGTATGATCGATTTGTTCCTGGTGGATGACCAACTGCGAAAACAGGTGATGGATACGCGAGTGTTCAGGGGTGCTGACCTGGAAACGGATCACTATCTAGTGATTACTAGATTTAGGGGTCTGTTCGCGGGTTGGCGCTACCGGACGGCAGTAACAGAACCACAGTCGGTCTGTCGCATCCGAAGCTGGAAGCTTCAGGAAGCGGATACTAGGGACAAATATCATGCGAGGGTAGCCGAAAAGCTTGACACCGTCGATGGCAGAAAAGAATGAGTTGAAAGAACATGGCAGAACCTTAGGGATGGAATGGTAAGTGCAGCGGAAGAAGTGTGTGGAACAATAAAAAGAGGCAGTAGTAAAAGAAAAGATGCATGGTGGAATGATGAAGTGAAAGAAGCTGTAAAGAAGAAGAAGAAAGCATGGTTAGACTACTTGGCCTCTAGTAATGATAAGGATATGAGAGAGAAGATGAAAGAAAGATATAGGCTGCAGAAAGTTCACACGAAAGCACTGATTGAGGAAGTGCGTGAAAGGTGTAGAATGGAAGCGGACGAAAGGTTGTCGCACAACTTTAAGGAGAACTCCAAACTCTTCTGGAAAGAGGTTGGAAGGGCCCGAAGTGGTGCGACGGCCTTAAGAATGAACAAAGTGCTTTCGAGAACTAATGACGTCCTCTCAGAAAAATCGGACGTCATGCAGCGATGGAGCGAATTTTATAGAGAAATGTATGCCTGTGATGATCTTAGTGAGGGATCCGGGGATGACGCCGTGACTGGTACGCCAGACCCGGACCTCGATGACACTGAGGTCATCAGTATGAAAGAGATTGAACGTGCGATTCGAAGTTTGAAATGTGGTAAGGCTGCGGGACTAGACAGAGTTACTGCTGAAATGGTCAAGTATGGTGGGCCTCGCGTCTGGGACAGCTTTCATCTGCTGTGCAATTTATGCTGGCGGACGGGGGATGTCCCGGATGATTGGCGATCCGCAGTCATTGTGCCTTTATATAAAGGTAAAGGTTCACATTTTGACTGCGGGTGCTATCGGGCGATCAGCTTGACCAGTTTAGCAAGTAAAGTTTACTCGAAGGTTTTGACACGTAGGATGCAAGAGAAATCGGAAAGATTTCTATGGGAGGCACAATGCGGATTTAGACCTGGAAGAGGATGCACGGATCAAATGTTTTCTCTCCGCATGATCACGGAAAAGCTTCTGGCTGCTAACCAGAAAATTTTCAGTGCTTTTGTGGATCTTGAGAAAGCATTTGATAAGGTTGTAAGGAAGAAAATGTGGGAACTGTTGCCGGGGTATGGTGTGGATGGTCAATTGCTAAGGGCTGTGCAGTCTCTTTACTGTGACTGTAAAGCCTGTGTGCGGGTAGGGCATGACCTGTCACCCATGTTTAACGTCCAAACGGGCGTAAAGCAGGGTTGTGTCATGTCTTCCTGGCTGTTCATACTGTATCTCGACAGCTGTTTACAGAAGCTGAAAGATAGTTGTTTCGGTGTGAAATTGGGTGACATTAAAGTAAATTGTCTGCTGTATGCTGATGATGCAGTGCTTATTGCACCATCAGAGGCAAAACTGCAGGCATTAGTCACGTGTATGAAAGAGGAATGTGAAATTAAAGGTCTCCGTTTGAATGCTAATAAAACTAAGGTTCTGGTATTTGAAAGGGACGAAGAGAGAACGAAGTGTGAAATATGGGTAAATCAGGAATGTCTAGAACAGGTAAATGAAATTGTATACTTGGGGAGTGCTTTTAGCCGGGATGGAAGATGTGATTTAGATGTGGACAGGCGTGTCGCTGCCGGGAACAAAGTCAATGGTGCCCTGACTGCGTTAGTCAAAAGGCAAGGCGTAGCGAAGAGTGCACGCCTTGCAATACATAACGCAGTGTTGGTACCGACTTTGTTATATGGCAGCGAAACCTGGGTATGCCAGAAGAAGCATAAAAGTAAGTTGAATGCAGTGGAGATGCGATCTCTTCGTAAAATGTGCGGCGTTACCATGGCCGACCGAAAGCGAAACGAAGAGATTCGCAATATGGCAGGTTTGAAAGATGACCTTATCACAAAAATTGATAAGGGCGTGCTTCGGTGGTTTGGGCACGTTGAGCGAATGAGTGAAGACCGAATGGTGAAGAAAATATATAGCGCGAAAGTTAATATTAAAAGGTGTCGAGGTAGACCGAGACTAACTTTCGAAGACCATGTGAGCAAATTGCTCGAAGAGGGTAGGGTCAAAAGTACTCGGATACTTCGACGTGCATGCATGAAGAAGATAATGAATCTGAAAGAAGCGAAAGAGGTTTGTAAGGATCGTGACACTTGGCGATCTGTTCTCTCTGGCTACCCCGTCAGGGATTGTGCGTGAAGATAAGTAAGTAAGTAAGTAAGTAAGAAGAAGTTAAGAACTATAATGAGCAAAGGAATGAACTAATATTAAAGGCAAAAGAGTCAGTACAAAAGATCCAAGAAGAGAACGTTAAAAATTATAATAGAAAAAGAAAAATGGCTACCGAATACAAAGTTGACGACTTGGATGCTATTAAACGAACACAATTTACCCAAGGAAGTAAATTGTATCCTAAGTATCTAGAACCTTACGCAGTGAAAGCCAAAATGTATCATGAAAGGTACGCTGTAAGAAAAGTTGGTGAATGCGAAGGGCCCATCAACACAACAACCTCGGCTGATTTCATGAAGCCATGGGTCGATGAAGAAGTAGATGAATATTCATCTGAGTCAGATGAATGATCAGGACGGCCGTGTGGGAGAAAGTTTATTTTTAATCTGTGTTTATGTTAGTTTTTAAGTCTTGGCATGATAAGGGGTGTGGGTAGTCTGTGGTTACGAGGATAAACATTGTAATGAGGTTAAGCAGTTTTTTATTAAAGATTTTGTGTTTAATTCGACCATTCTTTTCTTCGACGATCCCACACCTATTTTGGGGGCTCGTCCGGGATCCAGAGAAGTATCAGTGTGGAAGAATTAACGAAGTGACGCTAAGAATCACGACATCAGTAACGACCAAGTTTGTGATCCGTAAGCACGTCCGAGTTCTTGACAATTTAAAATAGTTTTGTATCCAAAATACATTACTAATGGCTTCCTGTGCAGTAAAATGGTGTGACAAGTTAGCTAAGACATCCAGTTATCAAAAAGATGACAAAAATTTTAATCGGTAAGTAAATTCTATTCCTATCACGTTAACCTATTTCAAATGCACCGGAGATCAACTTATACTGGAATAACAATGGTGCAAAGTGATAACAATTAAGCACCCGTTGATGTCTTTTTGAAATGTCCCTTTCGCTCGTTACGTAAATTACAATAGTTGTCTTTGTCTAACAACAGCACGTGTATCGATAGTGTTGTGATTTTTAAGTCGATATTTGTTTGGTCATCGTTTAATTATTTTTTTCGAAGTCATTTATCATTATTTTATAAAAATAGTGACGTATCATTGTGGTACCTATATGTTATAGGTTTCCTAAATGCTTCGAAGGGAAAAAAGATGTGGATCGACGCAAATTGTCGAGGGGACGAATGGTTTCCCACCAAAAATAGTGTACTATGCTCAAATCAGTTCACAGAAGACAATCTTCATAATATTATGAAAAACCGTATAAAGCTGTTGGACTCCGCTATACCATCTCTATACTTGCCAGTTTTAGTATGGACTTTTGCATTTTTTTTAAAGATTAGTACTAACGTTGATTACTCAATAATATCATTACGTGGTTGAGTGAAACATTATATTCTTATATTTAGGTGAATGTTACACGTCGAAATCAGGCTACTTTTAACGGATTTATAAATCATAAAACATGTAAAAGTTATAATGTGATTATTGTTTTGACTTGGTATTTAGTGTTACATGAAGTTTTGTAATATCTTATTATAATTATTAAGTACATCTAAAGGACAATGGCAGAAAAATAGTTGACAAAAATTATCGCGTCTAGAAATATGTTATATATAAAATGAATTTTATTATTTTTCTATGATTATACAAACAAAAATGTATTTTAATTAAAGCCACAGAAAAAAACAAACATTTTTGGGAATATCAAATGACTAATCATTTTACTCTATTCAAGTGTTGCCACTTAGTATATTCATATTATTTTCGTATACACTGTAAGACTACCAACACAACACACAAAATATTTTTTATTAAGATATTATTAGTAATAAATTATAAAATAATGTAAAAATAATAAATTATCTCAATCATAGTACTATTTAAAAATTCCATTTAATGTTAGGCAACACTAGCGAAAACAAAATGTCACTGGTTTTTTACTGGCTTTACGGCTCTGGGTTCTAGCCCTTCTGAGAATGTCACTATGACACAAAGGCCCTGGAGCCATGCCAGAAATATACATTTATAGTATGCAAATATATCATAGAGATACAATAATCTAAAAACTCTCAATTATGAATAATGTATTAAGCTAACATCAAACAACCACAGGAAGCATAACT